TTTCTCTTCTTTGTGCTCGCCTGTAGCTGCTGCTGGCTGTGCTTCAGGTGCTGCTGCCTGCTTCCCCATAGCTGCTACTGCCTCTGTGGCTTGCGGTGTTGGCTCAATTGGATCTGCTGAATCAGCTTCTGCTTTGGTAGATCCAGCTCTCCCACGACCCCTACCCTTGCCACGTCCCCGACCACGGCCTGCGGGTGTTTTTTTTTGGGCAGTGCCAACTCTTGTTTGATATCAGCCTTTTCTTGTGCAAGTTCGTGCTCAGCTGGATCAGCTTCCGTTTTGGTAGATCCAGCTCTCCCACGCCCACCCCCTTTGCCATTGGAACGCCCCCGGCCCCTACCCTTGCCACGTCCCCGACCACGGCCTGCAGGTGGTGCTTCAATGTCTTCGTTTGCCAACTCGTGTTTGATATCAGCCTCTTCTTGTGCAAGTTCTTTCTCAAATGTTTGTTCTGGCTCGGCTGCAGGTTTTTGTTTTTTTGCGACCTGGCTTTTGTTGTTTGGCTTGCTCTGCTTCTTTCTCTGCGTCTCTCGCAGTCTTCCTCATTTTTCTTTGTGCCTAGGATTTTTTTAAACATGAACATATTAATGCTCAGCCAGCTGGTACAATGTTGAAACTTAATTAAAGTGCAAACATGGTACTGCCAACAAACTCTCCGAATTGCTGTCCACCTTGCAGCCGATCTCAAGATCAGCCATTGCCTTGGACACCTCTGCCTCAAACTCGTTCTCGAAATCTGGCACCTCTTTTAGAAGAGGCTTGACCTCCTGCCAACATCACGCAGAAACCAAAGCAAGCTTAACACCTGTTCGATAGAAGTGAAGCGATATGGAATATGTTCTTCATCCACGTGTTTTCCCCACGTGTCTCACTCTGCACCCCTCACCCCGCACCCGCCACCCAACCCTCGAAAAAAATGGTCCTTCATAATGTTCTTTTTGGCATTCCCTTCATCAGCACTGTCTAAGGCTGCCTCATGCTTAGATTCGGGTTCCTGCCCTGCCGGATTCTGCAGACCATGGGTGGTGTTTGGGCAAGAGTCGAAGTACATGTGCAAATTTGTTTGTTTCTTTGGAAACGAAGGTACGCTTGTTCCATAAGTGCTTGGATCTCGAACTTGTGCTGGAACTTGAAACTTTGAAGCCCTTTCTGTATCAAAAAACTTAACCCTCCAGCCTTCCCACACACTTGCACTTGGGAGCTGCGTGGGTTCGGTCTTTGGCTGTGCATCATGTACTGCAGTTGGCTCACCAAAAAAACTCCACACATTCATCACCAGTTAACACTTCCTCCTCCTCCATCTCCTCAATTTCAACAATTTCGATATCGGACTGATGGCCAGAGCCACTGGGTTCAGCATCAGCTGCAGCATCATGAGTCGCTTTTGTTTTCTTTTGTGGTGGTTCACTCACACCTTGATCTTCCTCAGGTCTTTGACCTCTACAAACACAAACATTTGAAGATATTTGAAGCATTTAGAACATTGCAGTTTAATCCACATTTTTGGGGACCTGTATCACTGACCTCGCCTGTCACACTAGCCGGAAGCAACGGTTTGCCTTTCTTCATTAGGCCCGCCTCCTGCAAAGTTGGTGAGCACAGAGGTTCAAAGATTGTAGCGTACTACAATGATCAAGACCACACAATACCACCCAAAAAATGATTTGCACACATGTGCATACATGCCCTGACCTCATACTTCATCGTGAGCAATCGTTTGACTTTGTGCATAACGCTCTCAGTGCTCCTGGAAATTATTTGGCACACAGTGCACAAAAAAAAGTTTCCTACTCAGCTTGTTTCGTTGGGTCATGTATTAACACAAAAAAAAGATGACTCCTAGTTTTTGATGTTCTTCCATGTCTCATAATGCAGTAACTTGCCAATGAGCGCTGGAGCTTGGCTTCGTCGTCTGCCCACTCCTGCACAAATATCGGCCGGTTATAGAACAAGGCTCGATGCTGAATATCGTTCTTGTGCCCCAGGTTCGCTGAACATAGTGCTGAACATATTACTCGTTAAACAGCTCTCACGATGTATTCAGGTCCTTCACAGCCATTGTGATGGACGTGTCGTTGGTCAGGTGGTGCTCAATGGCCACTTTACATAGCGTCTCCTGTGTTGCTATTCACCCACGCATGCGTGCATATTGGATTGAGCACCAACACACAAGGGCCCGGAGCACGCCTTCACTTCAACCAACGTTGGCATGTCCAAGGCAAAGTGCGCCAGATAGGGGACAAGGAATTGTGCTGTTCGATCCAGTTCCACCTGGGCCCATGATCATGTTTCTTTCCACCATTGTCTACCAGTCCCACACCAAAAGAAAAAGAGTAACCATTTGAACCCTTGCCATTCAGCAAATCAACCTTGGACCCGAACATCTCTTTCACCAATGTTTGCAGGGTTCGCGTTAGACGAATCCAGGTCCACAAAGGAAAAGGACACAGGAACCTGGGAGCCACTACAAATGCGGTGACAGCTTAGCGAAGGGCTCTTAAAAGTGCAGCGATGATCATGTTCGGTCATTGCATTTCTAGTGATGCAATCTAGAAACTGTTCCATCCGACAGGCATTGTTTGATCTTTCGATCACACAGACCCTTGGCCTTTCCCAGTTCAAAGATTCGATCTTGTCGATAGAGACCATCATGGGTAGCAAGAAGATCTGCATAGAACGCCTGCACTGCAAAGCCACAACAAAACAACATCAGTGGACCGAAAACAAAAGCCTCACAATTCCCCCCATATCACTGGCCTTCAGCAACTGCATCCTTTGCTCGTTTGGCTTTGTGGTAGGCATGGCAGCGGTGAGCGATCAAATCAAAGTTGATCGGCAAGAGAAAAATATCCGGCGGTATTGTGGAAAATTGGAAATTGTGGAATCCTAGTCATGGTGTTTTGCAAAATGTGCCGGGTCGCTGATGCAACAAGAGCCGACAATCAGCAACAAATGAAAGATCCACTTGCTTGCATGCAGGCAAGTCCAACACGCACTAGTTGCACTATAGCGCACGGTCGTCTTATATAGTTAAAAACTGAAGGGGATGGCACCTGATGAATCCGCGTGCGCTTCATACTCTGCAAGCTTGCCTCGGGATTCCCCAAAATATCAGGTCCACTATAACATAGTCACATGTCATATATCATACCAAGGGCCCGGCGTTTGCGCACGGCTCGGGCAGAACCAATCGCAGGCATCCCATTGCATGCGACCACGACAGGGATAAATACACCAATTGCACATTAAAAATGTATGTGGTTGCTTGCAAAGATCTTTTATTTTCAGCGGAAATTATTTGAGAGTCTTCAAATTGATCACGACAAAATCAACTCACACAGATCCACGCAAAGTTCACTTGGATCCGACAAAGTTGAACAGCTGCAGGTACAGCACGTCTTAACAAAGACATAGGTTACCGCCGCGCTGGAAGGTCAGGGAAAGCATTGGGGCATTGGGGCCTTGGATAGACTCGGGCTCAACAACCATGAGCTGCAAACAAATGCACACACCCTTCAGGCGGAGCTAAGGCATTGTGGAGGTGATTGACTTGCTAAGGCATTGGGTCGCTGGGATTGCCAGCCTTTGACTTCCTGAGCTGGAACGCAAAATTGGAATTGGTGTGTCGAGTCAAATCCGGCCTATTCAGAGCTCGTTTGACAGCGGGATATGCAGGGAGCAGTGTGATATCGTGATAGAAATCATTGTGCTTGCGAATCCAAAACCAATAAGTCAGTCATTAGGCTGGAAAAGGCCCATCAGAACTTGCCTTGAGCGAACTGATCCAAGCCTTCGTGATCTACCAAGAGAGGTGTTTTGGTGAAAATCCTTTGTCGCCCCATCTATACAACTACAGAGTCCTAATTAGTTCGAGTCTCTCAATCTCTCTTGGTCTGAAAGGCGCTCCAGGCCAGGTCGGCTCCGAGGAATGCTCTCCTCCAGCAGCTCGCGCCGGTCGGAGCTGCCCAGCGTGACGAAGAGCTTCCCTGGCGCGGGAAGACTTCTTCGACTGAACCGTCGGTGTTGGACGGCGAGGTCCGGTCTGCTCCGGCGGGAGATCCTGTTCAAGAATCGATCTGATCAGGGCGATGTCATGCAGGGCGATGTCATCCGATGACTGGGGATCCTCCAAGCCCAGCAACTTCGTACACCATTTACTGAAAAGACTCATGGGCCGTGGATGGCGTGGCTTTTTGCGAAGACCAGACAGGTGAGTTTCCAGACAGGTGTACGCAAACAACCCTGCTGATTGTTTTCAAGTTGTTCTGTCTCCATGTTCCTCGTTTTGGAGGGGTCACTGTGGTTCTGTTAGTGGCCAACGAAATCAAGAAGCGCTCTTGAAGCGCTGCTTTTCTTGATGGGAACATGACAGCCCCTGTAAAATCCTGTAAACAAGGATGAGAATTCTCCGACGCGGTCCCGACGCGGTCCGACGCGATCCTGGGGGCCTCGGAGAACAAGAAGTTATACAACTCTCGGTCTACCAGTGGATCTTCTTCCAGTGCAGATACTCCGAGGTCGACTGCGAAGCCATTGATTTCTGCGACCAATCGACGCTGTGTGCGTCACGGTGCACGGCCGGGTGCGCCTGCGCCCTGGTCTTCCGCGTCTAAGCGGGTGATGATGATCTGCTCGAAGGGGGAGAGCCTGAGGAGACGTGAGGGGATACCCTGCATCTCCAAGAACAATGAGACCAGGTGAAGAAGGCTGTCAGTCTACTGCAAACATTAGGCGAAATTCATCGACATATGCATAGAACCAACATTCAGGGCTCCATCCGACATGTTTTCGGATGATATCACATGAATTTACCTTGAGGGGTTTGGTTGAGCAGCCACGCATAAGGTAGGGTGGGATCAACAGTTTATTGAGCAAACCTCAAGTGGGAAGGGGCACAAAACCGCAGCTTCAGCATGCCAGGGATGGATGGTGTGTTTTGCAAAAGTGCAAGGCATTTTTCTATGTCAAAGCTCTACCATCCTGCAATCCATGTCTCAAAGCAATGAATGAAGGTAGTTGGCTATGGTTCTCCACTATATGTCTTTGCTTGTAGGAGATGTCTTATTCCAGGGGTGAGCTGACCATATAACCTTACTGTAAACTGCGCAACAATGGTTCCCATCATTTGAAACGCACAAATATGAGCTATGTCCTTGTAACGGTCACTACCACTCAGTCAATGTGGTACGTAGCGCTCAGTACATTAAAAGAAACTGCACTTCTCCTGCATTCCAATGGGAACACCCAGTTATCGTGCTCATCAACAAGTCCAAAACCAAGTGAATGATGACCCAAACCTGTATCCACCAGTTTGGTCCTCCGAGTGAAGTTCATCAGTGAAAGTTCATCAGTTTGCTCCTCCGAGTCAAACCGAGCTCGGCAGCACCCGAAGAGCGCATTAAGGGCGGCGGCAGAGACGCGGGAGACCGGTTTCCGGTCGTGAAAGCATCTTTCTGGCGAAGGTGTTCGATGTGTTTTTATGATCTCTGGTGAGGGATAAAGGTGATACCAGTCCTCTGCAACACCCCCACAGCATGTGGAAACTCTTCAAAATCAGACCTCAGTAGACGAAAAGGAAGACTACAGGTCTGAACTCACGTTTTTCAGGACCTCAACCCGCACCGAAGTTCGCAGGTCGGAGCTTCAGATCAAGGCGACAGCGTGCAGAAGACGCTTGGAGGAAACAAGAGCGTTGAAGCTTCCAACCTTCGATCGCCGCGAAACGCGAAGCCGAAGTTACTAAGTTGGGAATCATCGAGGGGTCGATGCCAGGTCCCATACGGGTGTGAGACGCTCAAATAGGGAGACCTCCCAGGGAACGACCCACCAAGATCGCTATCCGTTGGGGGTCTCCCTATCCAAGTACACACCCTTTTAATGTGACATATACATATATATATATACCCGTTGGTTTTTTCACGTGTTGGGCATCCCCTCTATTCATCAACCAACAAAGGCCATAAAAGACCTATTCGCCATGCATCGCTCTCGTGGGATGTCTGGCGGGACGAAGGCGGTTCTGAGCTGTACCGTGCATCCCTGCGTCCTCAAAAACATGTCAAGTAAGTATTGCTGCAGCTTCACTTCGAGTGGTCCCCACCATGACATTCCAATCTGACATTTTTTTTTGGCATGTATTGCTGCCATTCTTTCTGGCATATCTTCTGACGTTCTCTCTGGCATATCTTCTGACATTTTTCTGGCATATCTTCTGACATTCTTTCTGACATTGGTCATATTTTCTGACATTATGTTTGACATTCTTTCTGGCATATCTTCTGACGTTCTCTCTGGCATATCTTTTGACATTTTCAGGGCATATCTCTTGACATTCTTTCTGACATTCTATCTGGCATATCTTCTGCATATCTTCTGACAGTCTTTCTGGCGTGTCTTCTGACATTCTTTCTGACATGAATTCTGTCTCGCATATCTCCTGACGTTCTTTCTGACATTCTATCTCGCATATCTTCTGCATACTGACATTCTTTCTGACATTCTTTCTGGCGTTCTATCTCGCGGTTGAGGTTTCGGCGGGGAACACTGCCATGCTGTACTTGCGGTTGAGGTCCGGAGGAAGAGGCGGAGGATGAGGAGGAGGAGGACGACGGCAGCTGACATAAAATCTAAAAACCCTCACCTGACAGGTGGGGAAAAAACATAGTTTTTGGACGAAACGAAACAGCACTCCTTTGGGTTTGTTACTGCTGTATTGTCACACCCGGGTAGCGCAGGTGTGATGAAATACCTTCACAGCACTTAGGTCGGGAGTGATTTTGTTGCATCGTCTCAGTTCGCAAAAACGATAGACCACATGAAACTGATTGAACCCCACCCAAGCCACCATTTGATCGGTTGGTTGGCATCCAGAAAAGGAATTGATCCTGTTGGTCCATGAAAGGGATGCCGGTGCTGCCGAAGAGGAAGGATTTGGCGTGATTTGAAGTGTGAATCCCCCAACACAATGGGAGAGTCGTAGCAGAGAACCACACCAGTGGAAACATCCCACCTGTGTCATGCGACCCACTTTTGGGGGAAACAAACATCTACATATTCTCTCTGAAACTAACATGAAGTGAACAAAAATGTTTGTAGAGGAAACCGGTCTTCCAAGGGACCATGCCATCCACTTGTATGGTAGTTCCATGGAGTGTAATTACTAATATTACTATAGCAGTTCCATGCTCCGTAAGATTCTGTAGACCCATCGGATAGGGCCCGCACACATTGCGACGTTTTCCAGAAAAAGAGACACCAAAAACGACATGGAACGATTTGTATTCATCTGGTCACCCATGTTTATGCCCATCCTAGCATTCATAGCGGTGGATGGTCTCTTCTTCCCTACTAAAACACCAGACCCCTGGTGCCCTACCCCACCGCACCAGACAAAGGAAACGACCCACCGCGGAGATGTTGGAGAAAGGGACACGTCCACACTGAGGTTCAGCGTGGTGTGCAACTTGCCGCAAGGCAAGTCCACCTCTGAGTCAGTTCCGGAGTGGAGGTTTCACAAATCGCACGACATCGTTTGGAAAGGAGCATAGTCTATCTCCTTATGTGTAAGGATGACCCCGAAACCTCGCATTGGAGACATAAGGAGCATCGTTTGGAGGCTTTTCACGTTTCTCGCACGCGGTCCGAACACCAAATCACCTCAAAACGACATGTTGGAGTACTGGATGTAATTTTGTAAAAGCACGGCCAACCGAACAAAGTAATGAAAAAACAAAAACACTCTATTCTGCGTTGTATGAGGACAGTGAACTCTGCAGTTTCTCTTTTGAGTGGACAGGTTGTGCAAACCAGGCCTTCCCACTGTCCAAGTGTCAGTCCACCTGTTGTGGACAGAACATCGTGATGTTGCGTGGGCGTCCTGGTTGGCTACGAAAACAACGGTGTCAAGGGCACTCACCTCTTGAACATACCGCATACCAGTCCGAGGCGATCCACCACGCCTTCCTAAGGGCCCCAATCCTTCTGAGAAATGGCCTCAAAGCGTTGGGATGTCTGTTGGGATATAGATTCCTCTTAAGCAAGTGGAGCTTGAAAACATGAAACAAAAAAAAATGGTCATCTATACATGCAGTACGTAGGTAGCGGTACTAGCTGGCCCATCCCCATATGTCACGAGCGTCGCAAACCATGAAACAACACCTTAACTTTGCAGGTTCCATGCACCAAACCCACATGAAACCACAGCTTTTGAAGCACACTGAATTCCAACCGTGCCCTTTGAGGGAACTCATGATGGGCTTCTCGATCACTCGAAAAACATCCAGCACCGGTCCATGGCACTTCTGCGCGTCCGCGTGCGCGCCTCGCCTGCACCAGGGCCTCTCCAGTCTCATCCAATGTTCCGGCGACCGTCCTTGGTGGACGAAGAATCCGTGTTGACTCCTTCTTGCCCCACCTGTTAGTCATGATCCACCACTTGTAGGGGGTAAAATTCGGACTTCCAGGGGATATGCCTTTCACCCTTTTGCCAAAAGGATGAGAGGTATAGAGCCACCATGAAACCCAAAACAGTTTGAGAATGGATTGTCGTGCCACCGTGGTCTAATGGGGACTATCCTGTGCCCGGCAGATAGAACGCTCTGTGTCCTCCGTGTTTTTTTATATCATAACACTCTGTTTGACACTGTATTCTAGACAGAAACCGCCTATGGAAGATGTATTGCGTGGGTCAAAAAGCCATCTGAATCCAACTGTAATAGCACTGTCTACGGAAACATCTCTGCAATGACCAGAAGGCTGGTGAACACCAAACAGAAGCTGGCAACACGACGGGTCCGTTTGAGAAGAATAGACACCGGTCGCATTAGGTCACATCAGGTCACACCTGAGAAGCTGCAAAACGAAAGCCAGCGCTTCCCTTTCTCGACAACTGCGCGTCGAAGCAAGCAAATGAGCTCGCGCAGCTGCTTGCGGCCGCGTGTCAAATCTGCTTCATGTCTTGTTCTGCCCACACAGAAGTAACCATGTCAAAACAAAAACCTGCGCTTCCTGGCAATTGAGGGATTCGGTGTCATTTTGCCCGGAAATTTCCTCTGCACAGGGGGGGGTTTGGATGGAATCCGATGTTTTAGGCCGTAGCCAAACCTATCCACATTGACATCATTTGGTGTCTGGACATGGAATGGGAGGTCTCACTGTGGGAAGTGCAGCATGGCCACATGAACGGGACTTGCTTTACAGGTTGACACTGGATCTGATCCACTAAGGTTGAGCATGACCCTACCTATGGTCTGGTTTTCACCAACTATTGCTGGGTGCTCGATAATTGACATCACCGGTTCATCATTGCACCCACAAGTGTGATAGACCTTCAGAAATGGCCAGTGAGCAATGGAGATACCAAAAAGTCCAAGGGGTACACTGTGTACATCGATTGAACTAATCATAGAAGTGGAAAACCACCTGTTGGGGCTATGCCATCCACTTCTATGCTTATTTCGGGGAGTGTGCACCTAGACATACCGCCTATAAACCCTAAGGGTTGGATTATGGAAACATATTGCATATGGACCCTTGACTGACCTTCCAAATCCTCACCTGAGTCCCCTTCAGGTGTCCACAGTCGACCACTCTGGTGCAAGCAGAAGCATGCCCACAAGATTGAATCCAGCCCTTGAACGTGCCCAAAACTAAGGTCAGGCAGGTGGCTTATTTAGTTTAGTTTTAATCCTATAGTCGTTTGCATGTTGCTCTGAAGCTAGCCTGGGTCCGTACAAATACTATGTTGCCAAACCTCTTACACACCCACACAAGTTCAAAGCACGAATGAGACTTCAAAGCTGTGGATTGCTGCGCGTGTGTAGAGGCTATCGAGCGGTTGACGGAAAGGGAACTTGAAGTACTATACCTGGTAGCTGCAAGCAAGGTGCCAACTACACCTTTATTTTCAATTTGGCCTGAACAGAGTGTTTCAGGGCAGCAAACCGTGGTCTCAGGCCACCTTGAATTTAGCTTGAAAA